CCCACATATAGGGGGTCAGCCCCACATATAGGGGTCAGGATGGGGGTCAGCCCCACATATGGGGGTCAGCCCCACATATAGGGGTCAGGATGGGGGTCAGCCCCACATATGGGGGTCAGCCCCACATATAGGGGTCAGGGACCCCATATATGGGGGTCAGCCCCACATATAGGGGTCAGGATGGGGGTCAGCCCCACATATGGGGGTCAGCCCCACATATAGGGGTCAGGATGGGGGTCAGCCCCACATATGGGGGTGAGCCCCACATATAGGGGTCAGGATGGGGGTCAGCCCCACATATGGGGGTGAGCCCCACATATAGGGGGTCAGGATGGGGGTCAGCCCCACATATGGGGGTGAGCCCCACATATAGGGGTCAGGATGGGGGTCAAGCCCCACATATGGGGGTCAGCCCCACATATAGGGGTTAGCCCCACATATAGGGGTCAGGATGGGGGTCAGCCCCACATATGGGGGTCAGCCCCACATATAGGGGTTAGCCCCACATATAGGGGTCAGGATGGGGGTCAGCCCCACATATGGGGGTCAGCCCCACATATAGGGGTCAGGATGGGGGTCAGCCCCACATATAGGGGTCAGAAGAGGGGTGAACCCCCCTATATAGGGTTAGAATGGGGGTGAGCCCCACATATAGGGGTCAGAATAGGGGTGAGCCCCACATATGGGGGTCAAGATGGGGGTCAGCCCCACATATAGGGGTCAGAATGGGGCTGAGCCCCACATATAGGGGTCAGGATGGGGGTAAGTCCCACATATGGGGGTAAGGATGGGGGTCAGCCCCATATATAGGGGTCAGAGTAGGGGTGAGCCCCACATATGGGGGTCAGGATGGGGGTGAACCCCACATATAGGGGTCAGGATGGGGGTCAGCCCCACATATAGGGGTCAGGATGGGGGTCAGCCCCACATATAGGGTTAGAAGGGGGGTGAGCCCCACATATAGGGGTCAGGATGGGGGTCCCCCCCTTACCTCCCCATAGGGTCCCACTCCATATGGGGGTACAGGCGGAAGGGCAGCGGTGTGGGGACATCATCCAGGAGCTGGTACCGCATCAGGGTCACCTATGGGGGGGACCCACAACATAGGGGTCCTATAGGGCCCCAATGGGTTGACCCCCCCCCATATGGGCTCCCAATGGGATATCCCACCTCTATAGGGCCCCAATGGGGTGACCCCCCCCATATGGGCTCCCAATGGGATGAGCCTTTCCTATAGGGCCCCAATGGGGTGACCCCCCCCATATGGGCTCCCAATGGGATGTCCCACCTCTATAGGGCCACAATGGGGTGACCCCCCCTATATAGGCTCCCAATGGGATGTCCCACCTCTATAGGGCCCCAATGGGGTGACCCCCCCCATATAGGCTCCCAATGGGATGAGCCCTTCCTATAGGGCCATAATGGGCTGTACCATATAGGACCCCAATGGGGGGGGGGGGGGGGGGGGGGCTATGGGGTGGGGGTTACCTCGCCCTGGGGGGGGGTCACCCTTAGCACCCTGTGGGTCTCGAACTCCTCCAGGTTAACGCAGGGGTGGAAGGAGACGTCGTCCACACGGACCTGGGTGCCGTAGCCTGGAGGGGTATGGGTGCTATGGGGGCTATGGGGGCTATGGGGGCTATGGGGGGTATGGGGGGTATGGGTGCTATGGGGGCTATGGGGGCTATGGGGGGTATGGGGGCTATGGGTGCTATGGGGGCTATGGGTGCTATGGGTGCTATGGGTGCTATGGGGGCTATGGGGGCTATGGGGGGTATGGGGGCTATGGGTGCTATGGGGGCTATGGGTGCTATGGGTGCTATGGGTGCTATGGGGGCTATGGGTGCTATGGGGGCTATGGGGGCTATGGGGGCTATGGGTGCTATGGGGGCTATGGGGGCTATGGGGGCTATGGGGGGTATGGGGGCTATGGGTGCTATGGGTGCTATGGGGGCTATGGGGGGTATGGGGGCTATGGGTGCTATGGGTGCTATGGGGGCTATGGGGGCTATGGGGGCTATGGGGGCTTATGGGGGGTATGGGGGCTATGGGGGGTATGGGGCTATGGGGGTATGGGGGCTATGGGGGCTATGGGGGCTTATGAGGGGTATGGGGGCTATGGGGGTATGGGGGGTATGGGGCTATGGGGGTATGGGGCTATGGGGGTATGGGGGCTATGGGGGGTATGGGGTTTATGGGGGCTATGGGGGGCTATGGGGGCTATGGGGGGTATGGGGGCTATAGGGGTATGGGGGGTATGGGGGCTATGGGGCTATGTGGGGTATGGGGGCTATAGGGGTATGGGGGTTATGGGGGGTATGGGAGGTATGGGGGTATGGGGGCTATGGGGGGCTATGGGGGCTATGGGGCTATGGGGGGTATGGGGGCTATGGTGCTATGGGTGCTATGGGGCTATGGGGGCTATGGGGGCTATGGGGGGTATGGGGGTTATGGGGGGGATGGGTGCTATGGGGCTATGGGGGTATGGGTCAATGGGGATCAATGGGGTTCAATGGGGATCAATGGGGGTCAATGGGGGTCAATGGGGATCAATGGGGTTCAATGGGGGTCAATGGGGTTCAATGGGGATCAATGGGGTTCAATGGGGGTCAATGGGGTTCAATGGGGATCAATGGGGGTCAATGGGGTTCAATGGGGGTCAATGGGGTTCAATGGGGGTCAATGGGGTTCAATGGGGTTCAATGGGGGTCAATGGGGGTCACTGTGGGGCTCTCACCCCTTAGCTCCGCTTTTCCCACGCAGAATTCCTCGCTCAGCCCAAGGCGCAGCTCTGGGGGGGCAATGGGGGCACCCATGGGTGCTGGGTGGGGGGGGGCACCCATGGGTGCTGGGTGGGGGTCACCCATAGGGGATGGGGGGGGGCACCCATGGGTGCTGGGTGGGGGGTACCCATAGGTGATGTGGGGGACCCATAGGGGATGGGGGGGGGGCACCCATGGGTGCTGGGGGGGGGGGGCACCCATAGGGGATGGGGTGGGGGCACCCATGGGTGCTGGGGGGGGCAATGGGGGGCAATGGGGGCACCCATGGGTGCTGGGGGGGGTACCCATAGGTGATGGGAGGGGACCCATAGGTGATGAGGGGGGCACCCATGGGTGCTGGGTGGGGGGGGCACCCATAGGGGATGGGGGGGGGGGCACCCATGGGTGCTGGGGGGGGGGGGCACCCATAGGGGATGGGGGGGGGGCACCCATGGGTGCTGGGGGGGGCACCCACTGGTGATGGAGGGAAACCCATAGGTGATGGGGGAGGCCCCATAGGGGATGGGGGGGAACCTATTGGTGATGGGGGGTGCACCCATAGGTTAAGGGGGCGGGGCACCCATAGGTGATGGGGGGGGACCCATAGGTGATGAGGGGGGCACCCATTGCTGATGAAGGGGGCACCCATAGGTGAGGCGGGGACCCATACTTGATGGGGGGGGGAACCCATTGGTGATGGGGGGGCACCCATAGGTTAAGGGGGCGGGGCACCCATAGGTGATGGGGGGGGACCCATAGGTGATGGGGGGGGGGCACCCATGGGTGCTGGCTGGGGGTCACCCATAGGTGATGGGGGGGACCCATAGGTGATGGGGGGGGCACCCATGGGTGCTGGCTGGGGGTCACTCATAGGTGATGGGGGGGACCCATAGGTGCTGGGTGGGGGGCACCCATAGGTGATGGGGGAGGGGGCAATGGGGGGTGAATGGGGGCACCCATGGGTGCTGGGTGGGGGGCACCCATGGGTGCCCCCCCCTCACCTCTGCAGTTGGGGATGTAGCACTTGAGGCGCATCTCCCCCTGCACGTCCACCTTAAGGGGGGTACCCTGGGGGGGGGGGGGCAAAATTGGGGTGAACCCCCCCTAAATAGGGTCCAAATGGGGGGTCCCAGCCCCATAGATGGTCAAAATAATGGGGGGGACCCCCATATAGGGTTAAAGGGGGGGGACACCCCATATAGGGTTAAAGGGGGGGACACCCCCATATAGGGTTAAATGGGGGGGAAGCCCCCATATAGGGTTAAAGGGGGGGACGACACCCCCATATAGGGTTAAAAGGGGGGACACCCCCATATAGGGTTAAAAGGGGGGGGACACCCCCATATAGGGTTAAAAGGGGGGGGGGACACCCCCATATAGGGTTAAAAGGGGGGGGGGACACCCCCATATAGTGTTAAAAGGGGGGGACACCCCCATATAGGGTTAAAAGGGGGGGACACCCCCATATAGGGTTAAAAGGGGGGGACACCCCCATATAGGGTTAAAACGGGGGGGGACACCCCCATATAGGGTTAAAAGGGGGGGGAAGCCCCCATATAGGGTTAAAAGGGGGGGGCACCCCCATATAGGGTTAAAAGGGGGGGGACACCCCCATATAGGGTTTAAAAGGGGGGGGGACACCCCCATATAGGGTTAAAAGGGGGGACGACACCCCATATAGGGTTAAAAGGGGGGGGACACCCCCATATAGGGTTAAAAGGGGGGGGACACCCCATATAGGGTTAAAAGGGGGGGGACACCCCCATATAGGGTTAAAAGGGGGGGACACCCCCATATAGGGCCTCAATGGGGGTATCCCCCCCCATAGAGGCCCATAATGGTTCGGTCCCCCCCTATGGCGGCCCTGGCTGGACTGAACCATTGTGGGTCCGGGGGGGGGGGGGGGGGTCAGGACCCACATTGGGGCTCAGCACCACGGTGAGGCGCTCCAGGACGTCCACGAAGAGCTCCTCCCCCTATGTGTGGGGCAGAGAAAGGGGGGTTAGGGGGGGATGGGGCTGGGATGGACTGGGATGGATGGACTGGGATATAATGGGATGCATTGGGATTGCATTGGGATGCATTGGGATGGGACTGGGATGGATTGGGATGGACTGGGATGCATTGGGATGGGACTGGGATGGACTGGGATGGAACTGGGATGGGATTGGGATGGATTGGGATGGAATGGGATGGACTGGGATGGGATTGGGATGGATTGGGATGGACTGGGATGGATTGGGATGGAATGGGATGGAATTGGGATGGAATGGGATGCATTGGGATGGACTGGGATGGAATGGGATGGACTGGGATGGAACTGGGATGGAACTGGGATGGGATTGGGATGGAATTGGGATGGACTGGGATGGAATTGGGATGGAACTGGGATGGACTGGGATGGAACTGGGATGGAACTGGGATGGACTGGGATGGAACTGGGATGGGATTGGGATGGACTGGGATGGACTGGGATGGGGATTGGGATGGAATGGGATGGAACTGGGATGGAACTGGGATGGAATGGGATGGACTGGGATGGAACTGGGATGGGATTGGGATGGACTGGGGTGGACTGGGATGGGATTGGGATGGAATGGGATGGAACTGGGATGGAACTGGGATGGACTGGGATGGACTGGGATGGAACTGGGATGGGATTGGGATGGACTGGGGTGGACTGGGATGGGACTGGGATGGAATGGGATGGAACTGGGATGGGACTGGGATGGAACTGGGCTATAAGGGATGGGACTGGGATATAATGGAATGCATTGGGATGCACTGGGATCCATTGGGATGGGACTGGGATAGAATGGGATGCATTGATATTGCAGGGGGATGCACTGGGATGTGCTGGGATCCATTGGGATCCATTGGGATCCATTGGGATGCACTGGGATCCATTGGGATCCATTGGGATGCACTGGGATGCATTGGGGTCCATTGGGATGCACTGGGATCCATTGGGATCCATTGGGATGCACTGGGATCCATTGGGATGAACTGGGATGCACTGGGATGCATTGGGATCCATTGGGATGCACTGGGATGCACTGGGATCCATTGGGATCCATTGGGGTCCATTGGGATGAACTGGGATCCATTGGGATGCATTGGGATCCATTGGGATGCATTGGGATCCATTGGGATGCACTGGGATGCACTGGGATCCATTGGGATCCATTGGGGTCCATTGGGATGCACTGGGATCCATTGGGATGCATTGGGATCCATTGGGATGCACTGGGATGCACTGGGATCCATTGGGATCCATTGGGGTCCATTGGGATGCACTGGGATCCATTGGGATGAACTGGGATCCATTGGGATCCATTGGCTATGGGGCGGGGGGGGGGTCACTCACCTGCTCCCCCCGGGCCGCCCCCAGGGGTCTCGTGGCGGCCGAGCCCGGAGCCACCTTGGAGCGTTGCGTGTCCGCCCCGAACTGCAACGGGAACAATGGGGACAATGGGGACAATGGGGACAATGGGGACAATGGGAACAATGGGGACAATGGGAACAATGGGGACAATGGGGACAATGGGGACAATGGGAACAATGGGGACAATGGGGACAATGGGGGACAATGGGGACAATGGGAACAATGGGGACAATGGGAACAATGGGGACAATGGGGACAATGGGGACAATGGGGACAATGGGGGGCAATGGGGACAATGGGGACAATGGGGACAATGGGGACAATGGGGACAATGGGGACAATGGGGACAATGGGAATAATGGGGACAATGGGGACAATGGGGACAATGGGGACAATGGGGACAATGGGAACAATGGGGACAATGGGGACAATGGGGACAATGGGAACAATGGGGACAATGGGGACAATGGGGACAATGGGGACAATGGGGACAATGGGAACAATGGGGACAATGGGGACAATGGGGACAATGGGAACAATGGGGACAATGGGGACAATGGGGACAATGGGGACAATGGGGACAATGGGAACAATGGGGACAATGGGGACAATGGGAAAAATGGGGACAATGGGGACAATGGGGACAATGGGAACAATGGGGACAATGGGGACAATGGGGACAATGGGAACAATGGGGACAATGGGAACAATGGGGACAATGGGGACAATGGGGACAATGGGGACAATGGGAACAATGGGAACAATGGGGACAATGGGGACAATGGGGACAATGGGGACAATGGGAACAATGGGGACAATGGGGACAATGGGGACAATGGGAACAATGGGGACAATGGGGACAATGGGGACAATGGGGACAATGGGAACAGCGGGAACAATGGGGACAATGGGGACAATGGGGACAATGGGGACAATGGGAACAATGGGGACAATGGGAACAATGGGGACAATGGGGACAATGGGAACAATGGGGACAATGGGGACAATGGGGACAATGGGGACAATGGGAACAATGGGGACAATGGGAACAATGGGAACAATGGGGACAATGGGGACAATGGGGACAATGGGGACAATGGGGACAACGGGGACAACGGGGACAACGGGGACAATGGGGACAATGGGAACAATGGGGACAATGGGGACAATGGGAACAATGGGGACAATGGGAACAATGGGGACAATGGGGACAATGGGGACAATGGGGACAATGGGGGGCAATGGGGACAATGGGGACAATGGGAACAATGGGGACAATGGGGACAATGGGGACAATGGGGACAATGGGAACAATGGGAACAATGGGGACAATGGGGACAATGGGGACAATGGGAACAATGGGGACAATGGGGACAATGGGGACAATGGGGACAATGGGGACAATGGGAACAATGGGGACAATGGGGACAATGGGGACAATGGGGACAATGGGGACAATGGGGACAATGGGAACAATGGGGGACAATGGGGACAATGGGGACAATGGGGACAATGGGAACAATGGGGACAATGGGGACAATGGGAACAACGGGAACAATGGGAATGGGAATGGAACGGGAACAATGGGGACAATGGGAACAATGGGGACAATGGGAACGGGAACAACGGGAACGGGAACAATGGGAATGGGAATGGAACGGGAACAACGGGAACAACGGGAATGGAACGGGAACAACGGGAACAATGGGAACAATGGGAACAATGGGAACAATGGGAACGGGAACAATGGGAACAACGGGAATGGAACGGGAACAGCGGGAACAATGGGAACAATGGGAACAACGGGAACGGGAATGGGAACAACGGGAATGGAACGGGAACAATGGGAATGGAATGGGAAAAATGGGGATGGGAACAATGGGAATGGGAACAACGTGAATGGAACGGGAACAGCGGGAATGGGAACAATGGGAATGGAACGGGAACAACGGGAATGGAATGGGAAGAACGGGAATGGGAACAACGGGAATGGAACGGGAACAATGGGAATGGTACGGGAACAACGGGGATGGGAACAATGGGAATGGAACGGGAACAACGGGAATGGAACGGGAACAATGGGAATGGAACGGGAACAATGGGAATGGAACGGGAACAACGGGAATGGAACAGGAACAACGGGGATGGGAACAATGGGAATGGAACGGGAACAACGGGAACGGGAACAACGGGAATGGAACGGGAACAGCGGGAACGGGAACAACGGGAATGGAACGGGAACAGCGGGAACGGGAACAACGGGAACAACGGGACCGGGAATGGGAGGGGAACGGGAACGCGGATGGGGATGGGAACGGGAGCGGGGATGGGAACGGGAATGGGAACGGGAATGGGGATGGGATTGGGAGGCATGGGGGGCACTGGGATGCACTGGGGGATGCTGGGAAAGGACTGGGATATACTGGGATGTACTGGGGGGTAATTGGGATGCATTGGGATGCACTGGGATGCACTGGGGGGTAATTGGGGTGCACTGGGATGCACTGGGGGGTAATTGGGATGCATTGGGGTGCACTGGGGGGTAATTGGGATGCACTGGGATGCACTGGGGGGTAATTGGGATGCATTAGGATGCACTGGGGGGTAATTGGGATGCATTGGGATGCACTGGGATGCACTGGGGGGTAATTGGGATGCATTGGGGTGCACTGGGGGGTAATTGGGATGCACTGGGATGCACTGGGGGGTAATTGGGATGCATTAGGATGCACTGGGGGGTAATTGGGATGCATTGGGATGCACTGGGATGCACTGGGGGGTAATTGGGATGCATTGGGGTGCACTGGGGGGTAATTGGGATGCATTGGGGTGCACTGGAGGGTAATTGGGATGCACTGGGATGCACTGGGGGGTAATTGGGATGCATTGGGATGCACTGGGATGCACTGGGGGGTAATTGGGATGCATTGGGATGCACTGGGATGCACTGGGGGGTAATTGGGATGCATTGGGATGCACTGGGATGCACTGGGGGGTAATTGGGGTGCACTGGGATGCACTGGGGGGTAATTGGGATGCATTGGGGTGCACTGGGGGGTAATTGGGATGCACTGGGATGCACTGGGGGGTAATTGGGATGCACTGGGATGCACTGGGGGGTAATTGGGATGCATTGGGATGCACTGGGATGCACTGGGGGGTAATTGGGATGCATTGGGGTGCACTGGGATGCACTGGAGGGTAATTGGGATGCATTGGGGTGCACTGGGGGGTAATTGGGATGCATTGGGGTGCACTGGGGGGTAATTGGGATGCACTGGGATGCACTGGGGGGTAATTGGGATGCATTGGGATGCACTGGGATGCACTGGGGGGTAATTGGGATGCATTGGGATGCACTGGGATGCACTGGGGGGTAATTGGGATGCATTGGGGTGCACTGGGGGGTAATTGGGATGCATTGGGATGCACTGGGATGCACTGGGGGGTAATTGGGATGCATTGGGGTGCACTGGGATGCACTGGGGGGTAATTGGGATGCATTGGGGTGCACTGGGGGGTAATTGGGATGCATTGGGATGCACTGGGATGCACTGGGGGGTAATTGGGATGCATTGGGATGCACTGGGGTGCACTGGGGGGTAATTGGGGTGCATTGGGATGCACTGGGATGCACTGGGGGGTAATTGGGGTGCATTGGGGTGCACTGGGGGTAATTGGGATGCACTGGGATGCACTGGGATGCACTGGGAGGTAATTGGGATGCATTGGGGTGCACTGGGGGGTAATTGGGATGCACTGGGATGCACTGGGATGCACTGGGGGGTAATTGGGGTGCATTGGGATGCACTGGGGTGCACTGGGGGGTAATTGGGATGCATTGGGGTGCACTGGGATGCACTGGGGGGTAATTGGGATGCATTGGGGTGCATTGGGATGCACTGGGGTGCACTGGGGGGTAATTGGGATGCATTGGGGTGCATTGGGATGCACTGGGGTGCACTGGGGGGTAATTGGGATGCATTGGGATGCACTGGGGGGTAATTGGGATGCATTGGGGTGCACTGGGGGGTAATTGGGATGCATTGGGATGCACTGGGGGGTAATTGGGATGCACTGGGATGCACTGGGGGGTAATTGGGATGCACTGGGATGCACTGGGATGCACTGGGGGGTAATTGGGGTGCATTGGGATGCACTGGGGGGTAATTGGGGTGCATTGGGATGCACTGGGGGGTAATTGGGATGCATTGGGATGCACTGGGATGCACTGGGATGCACTGGGAGCCCCCCTGCGCCCTCACCAGCCCAATGGAGCCCAGGTCCAGGAGGCTGAAGGGGGGGGAGCTCACGGGGGGGCTCTGGGTGAGGCTGCGCAGCACCTCTGGGGCCGTGCTCTGGATGTACCCATAGTCCTTTGGGGCGGGGCGGGGGGGGGGGTCACCCCAAAGAGGGGCCCCAGCACCCCCATAGGGGAACATGGAGCCAACCCCCCCCAAACCCCCTTTAAACGCCCCCAAACCCCTTTAAACGCCCCCAAACCCCCTTTAAACGCCCCCAAACCCCTTTAAACGCCCCCAAACCCCTTTAAACGCCCCCAAACCCCTTTAAACCGCCCCAAACACCCTTTAAACGCCCCCAAATCCCTTTAAACGCCCCCAAACCCCTTTAAACGCCCCCAAACCCCTTTAAACGCCCCAAACACCCTTTAAACCCCCCCAAATCCCCTTTAAACGCCCCCAAACCCCCTTTAAACGCCCCCAAACCCCTTTAAACCCCCCCAAAACCCTTTAAACGCCCCCAAACCCCCCTTAAATGCCCCCAAATCCCCTTTAAACGCCCCCAAACCCCTTTAAACGCCCCCAAACCCCTTTAAACGCCCCCAAACCCCCTTTAAACGCCCCCAAACCCCTTTAAACCCCCCCAAACCCCTTTAAACACCCCCAAACCCCCTTTAAACCCCCCCAAACCCCTTTAAACGCCCCCAAACCCCATTTAACCGCCCCCAAACCCCCTTTAAACGCCCCCAACCCCTTTAAACGCCCCCAAACCCACTTTAAACCCCCCCAAACCTCTTTAAACGCCCCCAACCCCCTTTAAACGCCCCCAAACCCCTTTAAACGCCCCCAAACCCCTTTAAACGCCCCCCAACCCCTTTAAACGCCCCCCAAACCCCTTTAAACGCCCCCAAACCCCCTTTAAACGCCCCCAAACCCCTTTAAACGCCCCCAAACCCCCTTTAAACACCCCCAAACCTCTTTAAATGCCCCCAAACCCCTTTAAACTCCCTCAAACCCCCTTTAAACGCCCCCCAAACCCCCTTTAAACACCCCCAAACCCCCTTTAAACCCCCCCAAACCCCTTTAAACGCCCCCCAAACGCCCCCAAACCCCCTTTAAACGCCCCCAAACCCCTTTAAACGCCCCCCAAACCCCTTTAAACGCCCCCCAAACCCCTTTAAACGCCCCCAAACCCCCTTTAAACGCCCCCAAACCCCTTTAAACGCCCCCAAACCCCCTTTAAACACCCCCAAACCTCTTTAAATGCCCCCAAACCCCTTTAAACTCCCTCAAACCCCCTTTAAACGCCCCCCAAACCCCCTTTAAACACCCCCAAACCCCCTTTAAACCCCCCCAAACCCCTTTAAACGCCCCCCAAACGCCCCCAAACCCCCTTTAAACGCCACCAAACCCCTTTAAACGCACCCAAACCCCTTTAAACGCCCCCAAACCCCCTTTAAACCCCCCCAAACCCCTTTAAACGCCCCCAAACCCCCTTTAAACGCCCCCAAACCCCTTTAAACCCCCCCAAACCCTTTTAAACGCCCCCAAACCCCTTTAAACGCCCCCAAACCCTTTTAAACGCCCCCAAACCCCCTTTAAACCCCCCCAAACCCCCTTTAAACGCCCCCAAACCCCTTTAAACGCCCCCAAACCCCCTTTAAACCCCCCCAAACCTCTTTAAACGCCCCCAAACCCCCTTTAAACGCCCCCAAACCCCCTTTAAACCCCCCCAAACCTCTTTAAACGCCCCCAAACCCCCTTTAAACCCCCCCAAACCTCTTTAAACGCCCCCAAACCCCTTTAAACGCCCCCAAACCCCCTTTAAACGCCCCCAAACCCCTTTAAACGCCCCCCAACCCCTTTAAACGCCCCCAAACCCCTTTAAACGCCCCCAAACCCCCTTTAAACGCCCCCAAACCCCCTTTAAACGCCCCCAAACCCCTTTAAACCCCCCCAAACCCACTTTAAACGCCCCCAAACCCCTTTAAACGCCCCCAAACCCCTTTAAACCCCCCCAAACCCACTTTAAACGCTCCCAAACCCCTTTAAACGCCCCCAAACCCCTTTAAACCCCCCCAAACCCACTTTAAACGCCCCCAAACCCCTTTAAACGCCCCCAAACCCCCTTTAAACGCCCCCAAACCCCTTTAAACGCCCTCAAACCTCTTTAAACGCCCCCCAAACGCCCCCAAACCCCTTTAAACGCCCCCCAACCCCTTTAAACGCCCCCAAACCCCCTTTAAACGCCCCCAATCCCATTTAAACGCCCCCAAACCCCTTTAAACGCCCCCAAACCCCTTTAAACCCCCCCAAACCCCCTTTAAACGCCCCCAATCCCCTTTAAACGCCCCCCAACGCCGTTTAAACGCCCCCAAACGCCTTTAAACGCCTTTAAACGCCCCCCAACGCCGTTGAAACGCCCCCACCCGTTTAAACGCCCCCACCAGCATCTCCTCCAGCAGCTCGGACACCAACGCGAAGTTCCCCCCCACGTTCTTCTCGCTCAGGGGCCCGCAGAAGTCCCTCAGCAGCGCCACCAACCTGCGAGGGGTGGAAATGGGGCCAAAAGGACCCAAAACGGGCTCAAAATGGGCAAAAATGGGTCAAAAATGACCCAAAATGGGCCAAAATGACCAAAAATGACCCAAAATGGGCTCCAAATGACTCAAAATGACTCCAAATGACACGAAATGGGTCGTAATGACCCAAAATGGGTCAAAAATGACCCAAAATGACCCAAAATGGGCCAAAATGGGTCAAAAAGGACCCAAAATGGGCTCAAAATGGGCCAAAATGACCAAAAATGACCCAAAATGGGCACAAAATGGGCCAAAATGACCAAAAATGACCCAAAATGGGCACAAAATGACCCAAAATGGGCTCCAAATGACTCAAAATGACTCCAAATGACACGAAATGGGTCGTAATGACCCAAAATGGGTCAAAAATGACCCAAAATGACCCAAAATGGGCCAAAATGGGTCAAAAAGGACCCAAAATGGGCTCAAAATGGGCCAAAATGACCAAAAATGACCCAAAATGGGCACAAAATGTCCCAAAATGGGCTCCAAATGACTCAAAATGACTCCAAATGAGACGAAATGGGTCGTAATGACCCAAAATGGGCCAAAATGACCAAAAATGACCCAAAATGGGCTCAAAATGGGCCAAAAAGACCAAAAATGACCAAAAATGGGCACAAAATGTCCCAAAATGGGCTCCAAATGACTCAAAATGACTCCAAATGACACGAAATGGGTCGTAATGACCCAAAATGGGCCAAAATGGGTCAAAAATGACCCAAAATGAGCTCAAAATGACCCAAAATGGGCTCAAAATGGGTCAAAAATTACCCAAAATGGGCTCAAAATGACCCAAAATGGGCACATAATGACTCGAAATGGACACAAAATGGGCACAAAATGACCAAAAATGAGCCGAAATGGGTCAAAAATGAACCAAAATGAGCCCAAAACGACCAAAAATGACGCAAAATGGGCTCAAAATGACCCAAAATGGGCCCAAATGACCCAAAATGGTTCAAAAATGACCCAAATGGGCCCCAAATGACCCAAAATGGGTCAAAAATGATCTAAAATGTCCCAAAATGACCCAAAATGACCCAAGATGGGCCCAAAATGACCCAAAATGGGCTCAAAATGACTCAATATGGGCCCAAAATGACCCCAAATGACTCGAAATGGGCCGTAATGACCCCAAATGACCCAAATTAGGTCAAAAATGACCCAAAATGAGCTCAAAATGACCCAAAATGGGCTCCAAATGACTCAAAATGCGCCGAAAATGACCCCAAATGACACGAAATGGGCCGTAATGACCCAAAAAGGGCCAAAATGGGTCAAAAATGACCCAATATGGGCACAAAATGACAAAAAAATGAGCCAAAATGGGTCGAAAATGAACCAAAATGGGCACAAAATGACCAAAAATGAGCCAAAAATGCGTCAAAAATGACCCAAAATGGGCTCAAAATGACAAAAATTACCCTAAAATGGGCCCAAATGACCCAAAATGACCCTAAATGGCCCCCAAATGACCCGAAATGGGCCAAAATGGGTCAAAAATGACCCAAAAAGGGCACAAAATGACCCAAAATGGGCTCAAAATGACTCAAAATGCGCCGAAAATGACCCGAATGACTCGAAATGAGCCGTAATGACCCGAAATGGGCCAAAATGGGTCAAAAATTACCCAAAATGTGCTCAAAATGACCAAAAATGACCCAAAATGGGCTCAAAATGACCCAAAATGGGCACAAATACCCCAAATGACTCGAAATGGACACAAAATGACCCAAAATGGGCCAAAAATGACCAAAAAAGACCCAAAATGGGTCAAAAATGACCCAAAATGGGCACAAAATGACCAAAAATGAGCCAAAATGGGTCAAAAATGAACCAAAATGGGCCAAAATTGGTCAAAAATGAACCAAAATGGGCCCAAAATGGCCGAAAATACACAAAACCAGCTCTAAAATGGCCCAAAATGACCCAAAATGGGTTCAAAATGGCCCCAAATGGGTCCAGAATGACCCAAAATTGGTCCAAAATGACCCAAAATGAGCTCCAAATGACCCAAAACGGGCTCAAAATGACCCAAAATGGGCCCAGAATGACCCAAAATACACAAAAACCAGCTCTAAAACTGCCCAAAATGGCCAAAATTGGCCCAGAATGATCCAAAATAACCCCAAATGACCCAAAACGAGCCCAAAAGGCAACAGAATGGCCCCAAAATGACCTAAAATACACAAAAACACCCCCAAAATGTCCCACAAACATCCCAAAATATCCCAAAACGCCCCCAAAGATCCAAAACACCCCAAAACCACCCCAAAAAGGCCCGCCAAAACCCCCAAACGCCCGCTAAAACCGCCCCCAAAACCACACCAAAATGCCCCAAAAACGCCCCAAAACGCCCCGAATCGCCCCCTAAAAAGCCCCCCAAAAAAGCCCAAACCCCCCCAAACTGCCCCCAAAACGCCCCCCAAAATCGCCCCTTAAAACGCCCCACAAACACCCTAAAAACGCCCCCAAACCACCCCAAAAACGCCCCTAAAATGCCCCCAAACCGCCCTAAAAATGCCCCAAAACGTCCCCCTAAAACACCCCCAAAATGCCCCAAAACACCCTGAAAACGCCCCCAAACCACCCCCAAAACACCCTCCAACACCCCAAAATGCCCCAAAAAAGCCCAAACCTCCCCAAACGCCCCCAAAGTGCCCCAAAATCTCCACTTAAAACACCTATAAAATGCCCCAGAAGACCCTAAAAAAGCCCCCAAAACAACCTAAAAACGCCCCAAAAATGTCCCAAAACGTCCCCCAAAATCACCCCTTAAAACGCCCCTAAAATGCCCCACAAACACCTTAAAACGCCCCCAAACCACCCCAAAAACGCTCTCTAAACGCCACAAAACCACCCCAAAAACGCTCCCCAAAGTGCCCCAAAAACGCCCCCCAAAATCGCCCCTTAAGACACCCCTAAAATGCCCCAAAAACACCCCAAAAAGCCCCAAAAAAACCTAAAAACGCCCCAAAAATGTCCCAAAATCGCCCCCCAAAATCAACCCCCAAATCGCCCCTAAAATGCCCCACAAAAACCCCAAAAACGCCCCCAAACCCCCCAAAATCGCCCCTTAAAACGCCCCTAAAATGCCCCAAAACACCCTAAAAACGCCTCCAAACACCCCAAAACGCCCCAAAAAAGCCCAAACCCCCCCAAACTGCCCCAAAAGCGCCCCCCAAAATCGCCCCTTAAAACGCCCCTAAAATGCCCCACAAACACCCCAAAAACGCCCCAAAACGCCCCTAAAACGCCCCCCAAAATCGCCCCTTAAAACTCCCCTAAAATGCCCCACAAACACCCCAAAAACGCCCCAAAACGCCCCTAAAACGCCCCCCAAAATCGCCCCTTAAAACGCCCTAAAAATGCCCCAAAACGTCCCCCTAAACCGCCCCTTAAAACGCCCCTAAAATGCCCCAAAACACCCCAAAAATGCCCCAAAACGTCCCCCTAAAACACCTATAAAATGCCCCAAAACACCCTAAAAACGCCCCCAAAACACCCCAAAACCGCCCTCCAAACGACCCAAAACACCCCAAAAAAAACAAACCCCCCAAACGCCCCCAAAGTGCCCCAAAAGCGCCCCCCAAAATCGCCCCTTACAACGCCCTAAAATGCCCCACAAAAAACCCAAAAACGCACCAAAACGCTCCTAAAACGCCCCCCAAAATCGCCCCTTAAAACGCCCTAAAAATGCCCAAAAACGTCCCCCTAAACCGCCCCTAAAAACGCCCCTAAAATGCCCCAAAACACCCCAAAAATGCCCCAAAACGTCCCCCTAAACCGCCCCTAAAAACACCCCAAAAATGCCCCAAAACACCCCAAAAATGCCCCAAAATCGCCCCTTAAAACACCTATAAAATGCCCCAAAACACCCTAAAAACGCCCCCAAAACACCCCAAAAACGCTCTCCAAATGCCCCAAAATGCCCCAAAAAAGCTCAAACCTCCCCAAACGCCCCCAAAGTGCCCCAAAAACGCCCCCCAAAATCGCCCCTTAAAACACCCCTAAAATGCCCCAAAACACCCTAAAACGCCTCCAAAACACCCTAAAAATGCCCCAAAAATGTCCCAAAACATCCCCCAAAATCGCCCCCCAAAATCACCCCCTAAAATGCCCCACAAACACCCCAAAACGCCCCCAAACCACCTCAAAAACGCTCTCCAAACGCCCCAAAACCACCCCAAAAACGTTCTCCAAACTACCCCCAAAACGCCCCCCAAGTGCCCCAAAAACGCCCCCAAAATCGCCCCTTAAAACGCCCCTAAAATGCCCCACAGACACCTCAAAAAGCCCCCAAAACACCCTAAAAACGCCCCAAAAATGTCCCAAAACGTCCCCCAAAATCGCCCCCCAAAATCGCCCCCTAAAATGCCCCACAAACACCCCAAAAGGCCCCAAACCACCCCAAAAACGCTCTCCAAACGCCCCAAAACCACCCCAAAAACGTTCTCCAAACTACCCCCAAAACGCCCCCCAAGTGCCCCAAAAACGCCCCCCAAAATCGCCCCTTAAAACGCCCCTAAAATGCCCCACAAACACCCCAAAAAGCCCCCAAAAAACCCTAAAAACGCCCCAAAAATGTCCCAAAACGTCCCCCAAAATCGCCCCCCAAAATCACCCCTTAAAACGCCCCTAAAATGCCCCACAAAAACCCCAAAACGCCCCCAAACCCCCCCAAAATCGCCCCTTAAAACGCCCCTAAAATGCCCCACAAACACCCCCAAAACGCCCCCAAACCCCCCCAAAATCGCCCCTTAAAACGCCCCTAAAATGCCCCAAAACACCCTAAAAACGCCCCCAAACCACCCAAAACCGCCCTCCAAACGCCCCAAAACGCCCCCAAAAAACCCAACCCCCCCCCAAACGCCCCCAAAGTGCCCCCCAACCCCCCCAACCCCCCCAAATTCGCCCCCTTGGCACCTATTGAGGAACTCAACAAGGGTGAACGGCGACGCCTCCGCCGCCGCGGTGGCCACGAAGTAGAGCCCCGAGTGGCGCACGTGGACAAAGTGGAGGCCCCCAAGGGCCTGGGGGGGCAATGGGGGGCAATGGGGGTCAATGGGGGGCAATGGGGGTCAATGGGAGTCAATGGAGATCAATGGGGGCCAATGGGGGGCAATGGGGGGCAATGGGGGGCAATGGGAGTCAATGGGGGTCAATGGGAGTCAATGGGGGTCAATGGAGATCAATGGGGGTCAATGGGGGGCAATGGGAGTCAATGGAGATCAATGGGGGGCAATGGGGGACAATGGGGGGCAATGGGGGGCAATGGGGGGCAAGGGCGGTCAATGGGGGGCAATGGGGGCCAATGGGGGGCAAGGAGGGGCAATGGGGGTCAATGGAAGTCAATGGGGGGCAATGGAGATCAATGGGGGGCAATGGGAGTCAATGGAGATCAATGGGGGGCAATGGGGGGCAATGGGGGTCAATGGCAGTCAATGGGGGGCAATGGGGGCCAATGGGGGGCAATGGGGGGCAATGGGGTGCAATGGGAGTCAATGGGGGGCAATGGGGGGCAATGGGAGTCAATGGGGGTCAATGGGGGGCAATGGGGGGCAATGGGGGGCAATGGGAGTCAATGGGGGGCAATGGGGGGCAATGGGAGTCAATGGGGGTCAATGGGGGTCAATGGGGGGCAATGGGGGTCAATGGGGGATCAATGGGCAGCAACGGGAGTCAACAGGGGTCAATGGGGGGCAATGGGAGCCAATGGGGGACGATGGGGGTCAATGGGGGGCAATGGGGGACAATGGGGGTCAATGGGGATCAATGGGGGTCAATGGGGATCAATGGGGGGCAATGGGGGGCAATGGCGGTCAATGGGGGTCAATGGGGGGCAATGGGAGTCAATGGGGCTCAATGGGGCTCAATGGGGGGCAATGGGGGGCAATGGCGGTCAATGGGGGTCAATGGGGGTCAATGGGAGTCAATGGGGCTCAATGGGGCTCAATGGGGGGCAATGGCGGTCAATGGGGGGCAATGGGGGGCAATGGGGATCAATTGGAGCCAATGGGGGTCAATGGGGGGCAATGGGGGTCAACGGCAGTCAACGGGGGTCAATGGGGATCAATGGGTGTCAATGGGGGTCAACGGCGGTCAATGGGGCTCAATGGGGTTCAATGGGGCTCAATGGGGCTCAATGGGGCTCAACGGAAGTCAATACCGACGCCACCTCCATGTGGCCATGAAGGCGACCAGCACCCTGGGACCATTGAAATCAATGGGACCCCCATTGCCCCCCATTGCCCCATAGCGCCCCATAGCGCCCCCCATAGCCCCCCACGGTACCATGAAGACCGGGGCTTGGTCCCCCGGCAGCGCGGTGACGCCGCGGTAGAAGAGCTCGGCCACGTCGGTCCCGGGCTCCGAGGGCTCCCCACGGACTATGGGGTGCAGGGGGGGAGGTTGGGGGTCAAGGAGAAATAGGGGGGGTGGGGGGCACAAGGGGGACCCCATAATGGGGGGGGGAGGAGAGCATATATGGGGCACAATGGGGGGGGCATCCTTATATGGGGGGACCCCATAATGGGGGGGGGGAAGAGGATATATGGGGCACAATGGGGGGACATCCCTATATGGGGGCACATGGGGGGACCCCATAATGGGGGGGGGAAGAGGATATATGGGGCACAATGGGGGGGACATCCCTATATGGGGGCACATGGGGGGACCCCATAATGGGGGGGGAAGAGGATATATGGGGCACAATGGGGGGGCATCCTTATATGGGGGCACATGGGGGGACCCCATAATGGGGGGGGGAAGAGGATATATGGGGCACAATGGGGGGGACATCCCTATATGGGGGCACATGGGGGCACCCCATAATGGGGGGGGGAAGAGGATATATGGGGCACAATGGGGGGGCATCCTTATATGGGGGCACATGGGGGGACCCCATAATGGGGGGGGGAAGAGGTTATATGGGGCACAATGGGGGGGACATCCCTATATGGGGGCACATGGGGGGACCCCATAATGGGGGGGGGGGAAGAGGATATATGGGGCACAATGGGGGGGGGGGGGGGAAGAGGATATATGGGGCACAATGGGGGGGCATCCTTATATGGGGGCACAAGGGGGACCCCATAATGGGGGGGGAAGAGGATATATGGGGCACAATGGGGGGCATCCTTATATGGGGGCACAAGGGGGCACCCCATAATGGGGGGGGAAGAGGATATATGGGGCACAATGTGGGTCATCCCTATATGGGGGCACATGGGGGGACCCCATAATGGGGGGGGGAAGAGGATATATGGGGCACAATGGGGGGGCATCCCTATATGGGGGCACATGGGGGGACCCCATAATGGGGGGGGAAGAGGATATATGGGGCACAATGGGGGACATCCCTATATGGGGGCACTGGGGGGACCCCATAATGGGGGGGGGAAGAGGATATATGGGGCACAATGGGGGGGCATCCTTATATGGGGCACAAGGGCGCACCCCATAATGGGGGGGGAAGAGGATATATGGGGCACAATGGGGGGCATCCTTATATGGGGGCACATGGGGGGACCCCATAATGGGGGGGGAAGAGGATATATGGGGCACAATGGGGGGCATCCTTATATGGGGGCACATGGGGGGACCCCATAATGGGGGGGGGAAGAGGATATATGGGGCACAATGGGGGGGACATCCCTATATGGGGGCACATGGGGGGACCCCATAATGGGGGGGGGAAGAGGATATATGGGGCACAATGGGGGGGGCATCCTTATATGGGGGCACAAGGGGGGGGACACCCCCTTATAAGGTCATAATGGGTGAATGCCCCCCATATAGGGTTATAATGGGGGGAACCCCCCCATATAGGGTCACAATAGGGGTGTCCTTCCCCATATAGGGTTATAATAGGGGTCTCCCCCCATATAGGGCCATAATGGGGTGAACCCCCCCATATAGGGCCATAATAGGGGTGAACCCCCCCATATAGGGCCACAATAGGGGTGACCCCCCCCATATAGGGCCATAATAGGGGTGAACCCCCCCATAGGGTTATAATAGGGGTCTCCCCTCACATAGAGCCATAATAGGGGTGAACCCCCCCATATAGGACCATAATAGGGGTGTCCCCCCCATATAGGGCCACAATAGGGGTGTCCCCCCCCATATAGGGTCACAATAGGGGGGTCCCCCCATATAGGGTCACAATAGGGGTGTCCCCCCCCATAGGGTCACAATAGGGGTGTCCCCCCCATATAGGGTCACAATAGGGGTCTCCCCCCCATATAGGGCCATAATAGGGGTGTCCCCCCCATATAGGGCCATAATAGGGGGGTCCCCCCATATAGGGTCACAATAGGGGTGTCCCCCCCATATAGGGTCACAATAGGGGGGTCCCCCCATATAGGGCCATAATAGGGGTGAACCCCCCCATATAGGGTCACAATAGGGGTGTCCCCCCCATATAGGGTCACAATAGGGGGTCCCCCATATAGGGCCATGCTTGGGGGGGCGGAAGGATACAGTCCCTATGGAGCAGCCGATCTCCCTTGGAAGAGAGGATGAAGAGCTGGGACAGCATCGCCCTATGGGGCGGGGACACACAACGGGGGTCAAGGGGGCGCCCCATAGATCCCCATTAACCCCATAGATCCCCATTAACCCCATAGATCCCCATTACCCCCCATAGATCCCCATTAACCCCATAGATCCCCATTACCCCCCATAGATCCCCATTAACCCCATAGATCCCCATTAAACCCCATAGATCCCCATTAACCCCATAGATCCCCATTACCCCCCATAGATCCCCATTAACCCCATAGATCCCCATTAACCCCATAGATCCCCATTACCCCCCATAGATCCCCATTAACCCCATAGATCCCCATTAACCCCATAGATCCCCATTACCCCCCATAGATCCCCATTAACCCCCATAGATCCCCATTACCCCCCATAGATCCCCATTAACCCCATAGATCCCCATTAACCCCATAGATCCCCATTACCCCCATAGATCCCCATTACCCCCATAGATCCCCATTAACCCCATAGATCCCCATTAAACCCCATAGATCCCCATTAACCCCATAGATCCCCATTACCCCCCATAGATCCCCATTAACCCCATAGATCCCCATTACCCCCCATAGATCCCCATTAACCCCATAGATCCCCATTACCCCCATAGATCCCCATTACCCCCCATAGATCCCCATTAAGCCCCCATAGATCCCCATTAACCCCATAGATCCCCATTACCCCACATAGATCCCCATTAACCCCATAGATCCCCATTAACCCCATAGATCCCCATTAACCCCCATAGATCCCCATTACCCCCCATAGATCCCCATTAACCCCATAGATCCCCATTAAACCCCATAGATCCCCATTAACCCCATAGATCCCCATTACCCCCCCATAGATCCCCATTACCCCCATAGATCCCCATTACCCCCCATAGATCCCCATTAACCCCATAGATCCCCATTACCCCCATAGATCCCCATTACCCCCCATAGATCCCCATTAACCCCATAGATCCCCATTAACCCCATAGATCCCCATTACCCCCCATAGATCCCCATTAACCCCATAGATCCCCATTACCCCCCATAGATCCCCATTACCCCCCATAGTTCCCCATTAACCCCCATAGATCCCCATTACCCCCCATAGATCCCCATTACCCCCCCATATATCCCCATTAACCCCATAGATCCCCATTACCCCCCATAGATCCCCATTACCCCCCATAGATCCCCATTAACCCCCCCAAACCCCATAAACCCGCCCCATAGCCCATTCCCCCCCCCCAAGCGCCTTAATCCCGCCCCCCCCATGCACCCCATAACCCAACCCCATTGTGCGCCCCCAAACCCCATTGCCCCCCCATTGCCGCCCCATTGATCCCCATTCCCCCCCCCTATAAAGGGCCGCGGCCCCTTTAAGACGGGACCTGCTTCCCGCCGCCGGGCTTGCCGGGAAACCCACGGGAAGGGGGGCGTGGCCTGGGGCGCGCCACCAGAGCTCGCTGCCTATTGGCTGAGAGCGGCGAAGGGGGCGTGGCTTCCTGCAGCCCTCCCCCTGCTCGCTGCCCGTTGGGTAAGAGCCGGAAGGGGGGCGTGGCCAAAGCGGAAGGACTTGAGGAGGGGTCACGTGGGGAGGCTTTTGCGCGCGAAACCCGAGCGCGGCGGCGGCGGCGGCGGCGGGAAACGGGAGCGCTGAGCGCGGGAAACGGGAGAAGAGCGCGGGAAACGGGAGCGAGGAGCGCGGGAAACGGGAGAGGAGCGCGGGAAACGGAAGAGGAGCGCGGGAAACGGAAGAGGAGCGCGGGAAACAGGAAAAGAGCGCGGGAAACGGGAGCGCTGAGCCCGGGAAACGGGAGAAGAGCGCGGGAAACGGGAGCGAGGAGCGCGGGAAACGGGACCGCTGAGCGCGGGAAACGGGAGCGAGGAGCGCGGGAAACGGGACCGCTGAGCGCGGGAAACGGCAGCGGAGCGCGGGAAACGGGATCGGACCCCCCCCGCAATGGCGCCTTTGGATTACGACGCTGAAAAAGGTGGGAAAATGGGGGGGGGGGGACGCGAAACCCCATTGGTTCCTATGGGGTGAGCGGGATCGATCCCATTGGTTCCTATGGGGTGAGCGGGATCGACCCCATTGGTTCCTATGGGGGGACCGGGATCGATCCCATTGGTTCCTATGGGGTGAGCAGGGATCGATCCCATTGGTTCCTATGGGGTGAGCAGGGATCGATCCCATTGGTTCCTATGGGGTGAGCAGGGATCGATCCCATTGGTTCCTATGGGGTGAGCAGGGATCGACCCCATTGGTTCCTATGGGGTGACCGGGATCGATCCCATTGGTTCCTATGGGGTGAGCGGGATGGATCCCATTGGTTCCTATGGGGTGAGCAGGGATCGACCCCATTGGTTCCTATGGGGTGAGCGGGATCGACCCCATTGGTTCCTATGGGGTGAGCGGGATCGACCCCATTGGTTCCTATGGGGTGAGCGGGATCGATCCCATTGGTTCCTATGGGGTGAGCGGGATCGATCCCATTGGTTCCTATGGGGTGAGCAGGGATCGACCCCATTGGTTCCTATGGGATGAGCGGGATCGATCCCATTGGTTCCTATGGGGTGAGCAGGGATCGATCCCATTGGTTCCTATGGGGTGAGCGGGATCGATCCCATTGGTTCCTATGGGGTGAGCAGGGATCGATCCCATTGGTTCCTATGGGGTGAGCAGGGATCGATCCCATTGGTTCCTATGGGGTGAGCGGGATCGACCCCATTGGTTCCTATGGGGGGACTGGGATCGATCCCATTGGTTCCTATGGGGTGAGCGGGATCGATCCCATTGGTTCCTATGGGGTGAGCAGGGATCGATCCCATTGGTTCCTATGGGGTGAGCAGGGATCGATAACATTGGTTCCTATGGGGTGAGCGGGATCGATCCCATTGGTTCCTATGGGGTGAGCAGGGATCGATCCCATTGGTTCCTATGGGGTGAGCAGGGATCGACCCCATTGGTTCCTATGGGATAACCGGGATCGACCCCATTGGTTCCTATGGGGTGAGCAGGGATCAACCCCATTGGTTCCTATGGGGTGAGCAGGGATCGACCCCATTGGTTCCTATGGGGTGAGCAGGGATCGACCCCATTGGTTCCTATGGGGTGAGCGGGATCGATCCCATTGGTTCCTATGGGGTGAGCGGGATCGACCCCATTGGTTCCTATGGGGTGAGCGGGATCGATCCCATTGGTTCCTATGGGGTGAGCGGGATCGTCCCCATTGGTTCCTATGGGGTGAGCGGGATCGATCCCATTGGTTCCTATGGGGTGAGCAGGGATCGACCCCATTGGTTCCTATGGGGTGAGCAGGGATCGATCCCATTGGTTCCTATGGGGTGAGCAGGGATCGACCCCATTGGTTCCTATGGGGTGAGCAGGGATCGATCCCATTGGTTCCTATGGGGTGAGCGGGATCGATCCCATTGGTTCCTATGGGGTGACCGGGATCGATCCCATTGGTTCCTATGGGGTGAGCAGGGATCAATCCCATTGGTTCCTATGGGGTGAGCAGGGATCGATCCCATTGGTTCCTATGGGGTGAGCAGGATCGATCCCATTGGTTCCTATGGGGTGAGCAGGGATCGATCCCATTGGTTCCTATGGGGTGAGCAGGGATCGATCCCATTGGTTCCTATGGGGTGAGCAGGGATCGACCCCATTGCCTCTGCCCCATAGAGAAGATCAAGCGATTCCTGGAGGAATTCTATCGGGAAGGCGCCGATGGACGCAAGGAATTCCCGTACCGGGAGCAGATGGTGAGGAACGCGGGGGGGACACCCCAAAATCCCAACTTTTCACCCCAAAATCCCAACTTTTCACCCCAAAATCCCAACTTTTCACCCAAAATCCCAACTTTTCCCCCCAAATCCCAACTTTTCACCCCAAATCCCAACTTTTCACCCCAAATCCCAACTTTTCCCCCCAAAATCCCAACTTTTCCCCCCAAATCCCAACTTTTCACCCCAAAATCCCAACTTTTCACCCAAAATCCCAACTTTTCACCCAAATCCCAACTTTTCACCCAAATCCCAACTTTTCACCCCAAATCCCAACTTTTCATCCCAAATCCCAATTTTTCCCCCCAAATTCCCAACTTTTCCCCCCAAAATCCCAACTTTTCCCCCCAAAATCCCAACTTTTCCCCCCAAATTCCCAACTTTTCACCCAAAATCCCAACTTTTCACCCCAAAATCCCAATTTTTCACCCCAAATCCCAACTTTTCACCCAAAATCCCAACTTTTCACCCCAAATCCCAACTTTTCACCCCAAATCCCAACTTTTCACCCCAAAATCCCAACTTTTCACCCAAAATCCCAACTTTTCACCCAAATTCCCAACTTTTCACCCAAATCCCAACTTTTCACCCCAAATCCCAACTTTTCATCCCAAATCCCAATTTTTCCCCCCAAAATCCCAACTTTTCACCCCAA